CGCTTTAGTCTTCATTTGTTCGACTGACAGTGAAGTAAGCAAAATTAGACAGTACTGCGATGACATTACAATTTAAATCTAACGTTTTAGCTTTTTCATATTCCTTTACATGTCACTACGTTTAAATAGGTTTACTTGGGACATTTTTTTCGTGGTTTTTGTATTTTTTGTACCCGTCGTCCATTTATTTGTAAGTCAATGATTCGGGAGTATATTTGAGGCCATGAGAACCATAGTGGCCTAACTCATTTTTTTACAATATTGAGTTTATGATTTTTTCCAGTTCAAATTGGTCATTTTGATAGAACCAGAAAGGCCTAAAAGTGATACAACGAATTTTCACTAGATGGCAGCATAATCATTGTTATGGTTTTTAGTCTGTGATCTAAATTTGAGGTGCCATACTGGCCTAAGTAAGATAGGCCACTATGGCTTGTCCATTGAATTAGGCCACTATGGTTCTCATGGCCTCATTTGTACTTATGTAAAGGACCAATCTGGGGGTCTAAGTTCGTCTACAGTCTAACATCCATCAGAAAAAAATACTGTCAAATAAGTAAAATAGGACCAAATAAAAAACCAGCGTGAAGTATGAAGTTTCATTCGTGTCATGCTTCTTTTAATTGGTCTTCATTGACAGTAATTGGTTTCAGACGGAGAACTACAGGCACATGGGACTTGTCAACTTATGTCTCAGAGTGACGGGCACAGTGGCAGTGGCTCTCAGATCTTTGCGATTTTAACCTCTGAGTGGCACTGCAACTACTATGGACAGGCGTGTAGTTTACCATCAGGCGCACGACTTGTTCATCCCGTCACTTGATATTATAAAATAAAAAGAACGGAAGTAGAACCCCCGTCTGTTAACAATATAATGTCTTTTTATTTTAAGATGTTTTGCTACACAAGCAAATTAAAAAAGTATACTTGTTTTCTCAAACAAACCAGTTAGCAGCGATTATGGGACATCTAAAGAGGCTAAAAAATGTCAGGCAACAAATATACGCGATTTTAAACTAGGAAAAATTAGTCTCATTGTGTAATAATCGCGAAAGTCAGAGCGAGTGGCGAGAACACGCCCATATTACAAATTTAAAAAATCTGCTTATCTTAACCTACAATTCGGAGGTGCTATACAACCGTTCGCTCTTGGTTGTCACTACGTGCTTACTACGTGAAACAAGGCAATTTTCAGTGCACAGTCTAACCTACAATCGTTGCTTAGAGAACTAACAAATGTTTGAGCTTTTGCGAAGGTACTTGTTCAGATTTATATTAGAGAGCGTTTATAGTTCTGTGCCTCTACCATGAGATTACAGTTATAGTTATCGCTAGCGGTTGTTTCTTCTTGTGACCGGTAGAGGCGCTGTATAATTTGTCATACAAAATTCTGAATTAATAATAATTTACGCGGTCGCTTGCGACAACCGTCACAGTAAACTCGTGGTAAAGGCGTAGATCTAAATTAGAGAGCGTTTATAGTTCAGGTTGGGTTTCTGAGCGAGAAGACGAATCTGATTCCTACTATATCTTTCTAATTTGTGAGTTATATCAACTATTGTTCCGATAAGAAAAGTTAAAGGCTTCCGATCGGCCAGTTGTGAATCGCAATTATACGCCTCGACTCGGAAGAGACGCAGTTTCCGATCGGGAGAGGCAATCAAAATCAAGCTGCAGATCTATATTAAGCCGGGTACTAATTCGGTAATTGTAACATGACAGGTACAGTAGGCAATAAGGTTGTAGCGTGAAACCGTCTTCACTCGCTAGAATGAGTACCAGGTTATCGTCGGCTAACTGCGAACCGCACGCTTTCGCTCGCGGCAAGCTCTCGAACAAACATGCAATTGTTACCGTTACGTCGCTAGTGAGTTTTAGCGGTTTTAGAGAGCTTTTATAGTCTTTTCGTATCTACGGCTGCTTTAAGACTCTATACCACCTCAGCTCGAATTCAATTCAATCCAGGTCGAGCGGCCGGGGCACTGGCTTTATTACAGAATTTTTTACAAACGAAATTAAAGCTATTTCAAAAATGTATATCGTATAATAATAATAATAATAACGCACACACTCAACATAGCCCCGCACTAGGGAAACCCTGTGTCGCGGGTGCCATGAACACATACATAGACAACCACAAATTACACCCAAACTCACGAGAGAAATAAATGTAGGCCATACAAATATTTCTCCCGGCCCGGGAATCGAACCCGGGGACCTCTGCGTGGCAGTCCGGTATGGTAACCGTTCGGCCACGGAGGCAGTTCGTGCTCTATTTAGTTAAGTTGATATTTAAAAAAATCATTGGTATAATGTAAAGTTATCAATTGTTAACAGTGGTTTTCTTGTAAAATTTCGAGGTAGGTTTGTGTTTTTTTTCTATAGTGAAAATTTTTATGAATCGCGTTTCCACGCCATATAGTAATCAGTGTATATCCACAATTTTACTATATACTTTTTTCCAAAGTGATTGTTAGAACACTATTACAGTTATGCGAAACCAACCAAAGCCATTTGAGGTTGTGTAGAGTCTTAATCGAGCCTATTTGAAATGTTGACACCAAAACCCATTTTGAGCTTAAAAACTCGAAATCCAGATAACGGATTCAGTCGAAACCGGTTTCGAAATGACACTGTTATGCTACGGGCATGTGGGCAATGTTATCTATAATTCTTGTAGCAAATTATCTGCAAGTGTACTTATGTGTAGTTTGCCTCTGTCTCCCATTGGAGTATTGCAATGGTTGTTTACGTTGAACAGATCTATTGTACATATAACAATTAATATATTCGATGTATTTTTCTTTTATAACTAACAATAAACCTTCACAAAACGCTGTATAAAACGAGACAACTATCGCCTACAATACAATACTAGTGGTTCTAGGCAATCGGCAGTATTACGTTACATATTATTTGCTTTTTAGAGTTAACGATTTCTTAATCTAGTTTTTATAGGGGTAAACTTTTGATTCGCTGAGTAAACATATACGACAATTGATTGTAATATTTGGCTAATTCAAAGAAGTGGCAGCCTCACTCGAGAAAACCATTTTTGAATACTATTTGTTATTATTAAGTAATTTAGAAAATTGAAATGCGGTTGCATTCTTGACGTGGACGTGTTGAAAGACGTTGAAGATCTGCTTATTAGTAGCAGTAGAGCTTCTTGTGAAAGAGTTCGGGAAGAACTGCCACCTCGCCTATTTCCGCCGCCAAGCTGTAATGTGAGCATTACTGCGTTCTGGTTTTGAAGGGTGCTGGTGAAATTACAGGAATTACATTGGACTTGTCAACTTATGTCACAGGGTGATGGGCGCAGTGGCAGTATCCCTAAGATCTTTGCGATTTAAAGCTCTGAATGGCACTGCAACTGTTATGGACAGGCGTGTAGTTTACCACCAGCCACAAGACCTTGTTCGCCCCGTCACTTGATATTATTAAAAAATATATTTAAAGATAGCAATAACAAATAAAATAATTTGTTTCTTGCTATTTTTTGTTTTTTTTTAGCCATGTAAATCTAGTTTCTTATGAAAACCGCTAAAAGATGTAAAGCTACAATTTACATACGGAACATCGCCATTATGCGGACTTATGTTATTATATATTTGAACGAAGCTGAATGTTGGCAGAAAGTAACGTTATTATGCCATTATTAAAACGTTTTATAAAACAAATGATATTCTAAAAATGAATTTCTCATTCAAAACTGCGCGTAGTTATGTTTTTTGTCTATTGCTTCAGCAATCGAAAGTTCACCTTTACAATTATTATTAAAAATCATAATACAAAATTTTGAGTAGGTACATAATAATAAAAACAATAAAAAAATTGCTAAACAGTATTTGTCATGTAAATACATTTCAAATAATCTTCCATAGTGTTGAATTCAACAATTCAACACTATAGAAGTTTATTATCGGAACATAATAATAATTCTTCTATCTCGGTTTTATTGGGCCACTTTTATCGTTACAGAGAAGAATATGAAAACAAACTACCACACCAAATAATTTGGCATGAGATGGTATACACCTCATCGATACTTAAATTAAAAAAATTAACTAAAAAAAATTACAAGTCGCTAAATTTTAACGCATTACGAGTATAATTTTGTGCTAAAACATTGGAAGTTATAATTTTGACCACTTTTCAAAGAGATCGATAAATAAATGCAATTTAGATAACATAGCTTCCTTTCCAGAAGATAATTTTGCCCTTACATTATTAGAACATTATCTTAAAGACCGAGTTTGGTCCTTATACATTAAAATTGAATCTTACCACCTTACAACACGCACAATCGTTGTTCGAAAGAAGTGCACTTGAGCTGAGGTATTTAGTCTTTCAATTCCCTAATTTTGCCATCGCTTAATAATCCTTATTCTTACACGCGTGCGATAGGTTTTAGCTTATTAGCAAGTAGAAGTAGGCCATTATTTCTATGTCTAAGGACATTTAAGGTTATCTTACACACGTGTACGGTATTTATTAACAGAATAATTAGTATAAGACACCGTGCATTAGTATCACATTAACGAATGTGTTATATAAGACGTATAGCAGCTGTATAAGAGCGGCTATACAGCCAATTAAATGTGATGGACTAAAAAGAAACAATTGCTTACAGATTGAGACAACATGCCGTTCCGTCTCATTCGTTTGCATCATCCTGATCTCTTTTACAAGCAAATAGTATGATTTTGGCCTTATAATATATAAGATAAAATATATTTTTTATTACATTTTTATCAGGTCTCATTTTGTAAATTTAAAGCTGTCTCAAATTAATAAATAAAAAAAATTATTGAAATGAAGCCGAAAATTTGTTGCGTCTATATATAGTTTTTAACGATACACTATAAAGTAATGGCTCTGGGCCAAATTATAGAAATGCGCTAAAGTCTTAGATTGCTGTATGGTGTACAACTGTGTTTTCTTACAATGCAGTTTTGCTAGATACACCAATAAGCAAACACGAACATTCGGTTCACGGGCGTTGCGATAGCTTTTTGTTTGAGACAAAGTACCAATGTACCAGAGCTAACACAAAAGTAATAGGTATAGGTAGCCAATATAGTATTGCGGTCTGCAAGGCGTAATTAACACAGATATGAATCTTATCTGTTCAGACAGAGGTGCCGTGTGCGCGCTCGGCGTCGAGGGTGACGTCTTCGGGCGAGGCGAGATCGGCGCGCAGGCGCACGCCGCGGCCTGTCAGCGTCCAACGACACGCCGCTCGCTGTTCGGCTGGTGATACTCTATAATAATAATAATAATAAGGCACACACTCAACATAGGGAAACCCTGTGTCGCGGGTGCCATGGACACACACATGGACAACCACAAATTACACCCAAACTCACGAGAGAAATAATGTAGGCCATACAAATATTTCTCCCGGGAATCAAACCTGGGAGCTCTACGTTGGCAGTCCGGCATGGTAACCGTTCGGCCACCGAGGCAGTAACTCTGGAAAGTATTAGCATAGTGTAACAAGACAAGTACGGTAAAAATAGTACATTATACAACAAGTGCATAAAACGCGCCATTTTACCCGAAACTAGTATATCCACCCGAGCCGCAGGCCGAGTGTGGATACCTAAGTCGAAGATAAAATGGGTTTTATGAACGAGTTATGCAATATGCTTTTCACTTCGATTGCGAGGAAATTAAATAGCAATATTACAAATAAACGATAATTTAATTAAAATTGAATACAAAATTACAACAATTAGACATATTAAATGTGATGGTTTTTTATTTTATGCAGTAGAGCATAAAATCCTATCTTAAGCAGCCTACACCCAGCATAAATACGAACTTTAAGAGCACGAGAAGTGAAAAAATCTTTTATTATATTGAGTAATGATGATTGACGAATTGTCCAAGCAGGTTGAAATTGACCTTTCTAACACTAGTGTTGCATCGGTAAAGCGTCTGATTAGTACTTTGTTTTTTTGGCGAGGAGGTAATTACCCAGTATAGTTAGCAGTTATATAATTTAATGCTCATTAACTTAATGTGTGTCTATCGGCGAGGTCCTAAAATTGGTTCACCGTTGGTCTTCCAATAAGTTAAAATAAAATAGAAAATACTACTTGACCTACTTGATTGCGAGTTTCAGCGGGCAAGCCACGGCGCGTGTCGACCTAGTGTAAACGCGCTATTATACCAGAGGACAAGTTAAGATCAAAGGAAATGGTTCTATACAATCATGTTCTTGTTATTTATTTATTGAGCATTAGCTAAAAAGCCAGGCTTAATAAGATAACAAAGATTGGTAGCAGTAGAGGTCCTTGTGAAAGAGTTCGTCCAGGGAAGTACTGCCACGTTGCCTATTTCTGCCGCCAAGTCGTAATGTGAGCTTTACTGCGTTCCGGTTTTGAAGGGTAAGGATGCTGGTGAAATTAATCACATGGGACTTGTCAACTTATGTCTCAGGGTGACGGAGGCAGTGGCAGTGCCCCTTTTTGTGATTGAAACCTCTGAGTGACACTGCAACTGTTATGGCGTATCGCTTACCACCAGACCCACTTCTTGTTCGTCCCGAAACTTGGTATCATAAAAAAAAAACCAAAGAATTAATACACTCACTAAATCGTGTGAAAATGTGACCACAAAAACTCCCTATTATTTCCCACGTTTTCAAATTTTGATTATTTATTTATTGAGCATTGACTATAAAGCCATCAAATTAAAAAAAAAAGTAACTCAATGTAATGTAACGTCAACTAAAAACTAAACCGTGTCTCTGTTCCACCATGTATTCGGGCGTGTTTTAGTAAAGCACTACCGTTATACAGCCTATAGTCATATAAGCGTTTTAGTGACTTATACCACCTGAGATCAGTTTCAGTGATCAGAAAGTCACACGACACTAGAAACTGTTTTCTAGTGTCGTGTGACTTTGTATCGTCATCACCAAATGTTATGCAACCTCTCGTCACATAAAGGGTTCCATAGTGAGTATTATTAGTAGCAGTAGATCATTGTGAAACGGTAACTCCAGGGAAGTCCTGCCACCTTACCTATTTCTGCCGCCAAGCAGTAATGTGAGCATTACTGCGTTCCCGTCTTAAAGGGTGCTGGTGAAACTACAGGAACATGGACTTTGTCAAGTTATGTCTCAGGGTGACGAGCGCACTAGCAGTGCCCCACATTTCATTGAGATTTAAAACTCTGAGTGGCACTGCAACTGTCATGGATAGGCGTGTCGCTTACCAACAGGCGCAGGACTTGTTTGTACCGTCGCTTATAAAAAAATGTACCTGCAGAGCCCAGCTTCGGGTTCGGGGTCAGGCTCGACACTGTCTCTGGTATCATGTGACCTCGTGTCTTCATCGTCGGGTGTTCCTTCGCTTGTTGCTTCACTTGTAGCCTCTTCGCTGCCTCCGCCACGATATCGCTCCACATAGTCTGCGTTAAAGTGGTGATATTGAACTAATTAATATACTTAATAAACTTATTAATATACCTACACATTTACGGAACATGTAAAATGTGACAATGGCGCTGCGTTCGGTTATTCCAAGGACGCTGTCAAAATAAAATCAAAACATCTTTATTTGATATCCTTTTATTAATTAAACACTGCTATTAATTTATAAGACAGATTACCCTGAGAAGAATGAGTGAGAACTTTTATTTATATTTAGGTATCATTTACATTATTTGATAGCTCCCATGTACGTTGTTGTAAGTGAAAATACCATTTTTTGTTTTTTTTTAACTTAAATTATATATCCTTTTTTATGTATATTGCAGGTTCCATATTTAAAGGTAAAACAAACCACTGAGGTTATGTTTACCTTCAAATATGTTTACTTTCAAATATAGAATATATATACATATACTTTATAATATACATAGGACAGGATATAGTCAAGTTAAAAAGCAAAAAATGGTATTTTAGCTTACAACAACTTTCATAAGAAAATTTATTTCAAATTTTAAGGATTTTTGTCATCCAACTATGCAAAGCTGTATGTTTAGTATAAAGTTCTTTATAAATCTCGTAAATTGCTTTGGAATATCAACCGGGTTTTATTATGGAAGAATATAAATTGCAACTTAATTGAATTTGTGACCTTGTGAAGACTATCAATAAGCTACTTTGGCTCAAGCGAGTGACGGTGACAGAGCCAAAAATTAAAAAAAAAAATCTGCTTCCATGAAACAAGCGTATGGAACTACGTTCCCTTCCTCGTTGAATTTAATGGACAAAAGTAGAACTCTATTGAATGGCTTAAAAGTGACGTAAATATTGACGTGTTACAAATTTTATATACACCATTTTAAATTTAATTGTTTCGGGAATTTTTCCCGAAAAATTTGAAAAATAGAATTTCGAAGGCTCATATTATGTTCTACGTTTAGAAATAACATATCTTTTAAGTTGTATTTAGCGTGAATTATAAAATAAAATTGTAATTGCAAAAGCAAGATAAAGAAAAACGAAATTGATTGTGATAATGGATTGGAAAACAGCGAAAAAAAATCTTTTGGCTCCATCGTCTTCGTTCGAAGTTACTACTTCAAATTTTGACAGATGTCAACGTCAATTGTGTAAAAATGTGGTTTTAATTGCTATACCTCCTCCTCCTATCACAGTATGTCCCGTTCTAGATCTCAGAGAAACGGGGAATAGCTGAAAACCAGTGCTGAGCAAGGCTTACGGAGCTGAGCCGTTGCCTTTTGCCTCAGACTTCTATATAAGATTTTTATACATTATGTTTTTGTATCGTTAATGAGGCAATAAATCTTTTTATTATTATTATTATTACAATTATCCGGACAAATATGTATTTTTCTGAAAAATGTGATTTTTTGAAAATGGAGGGTTTTCCCAACTATAAATACCTCGCCTATCATCGGACTCAGGGGCGTCCTCGAGACTCTTCAATATCTCAGCGCAGATCTCGGAGTCTAATGGCACGGGATTATCGGATTCTCTGAAATAGAAACAAATATGATGTATATGATAGGGCACTCGTCGCGAGCGGTGGTATCGCTCTGGGAGAGTCGTTATTTTTCAATTAAGAGATCTACGATGCGAATTACTACGGCGGCATATGCAGGGTTAAGAGCACGTCAACTTGAGACTTAAGATTTAAATTCAACTCTATGCTGCTTCTGAACCTGTCTAAAGCAGAGTTTGATGTGTACTGAACTTATGATATAAATATCAGAAGTCCCCTAACGGTTTTGTCTCGTAGACTATGTGTATTTTTCTGTTTTGATAGACCCTGACTTTGTAATATTGAACTTTGACACAGTCAAATGTATGTTTTTCTGCTGACACAGTGCAATTCGCTTAGATAGAGTTGAAAGTTGATTAAGAAAATTAAAAATACACAGGTTACTATTCAAATATGTATACCCATTTATGGAAAGCCAAAATAATGGCGAACAATGGCGAAATCATTGTTAAAAGAATTCTAAGTCAAAGAACCATTTATTCCATAGGTAAAATAAAATAAATTTACACTTCAAAACGTCACATTTAAGATACTGCTCGTTCACTACGCTGACTTCCCTGAGAAGAACGAGAAAGAAACTCTAGGGAAAAGAAACTCTTTTCATATAAACTTAAATACTATGGAATACACTTTGAATCAAATTTGTGAGGAATCTAGAGACATCATTCCGTACATATATATGTAACACGCAGTCTTCAATTTTTAACCGACTTCAAAAAAGGAGGAGGTTTTTTGAACCGACTGTTCGAAAGAGGGTACCTCAGAAGTGGTCCCATTTAAATTTGAAGAAAATATTCGACCTCTAAGGGTGGTAAACTAGGGGATGAATGACTTTTTAGGTCGGTTTTTTGGTATCTGTACTGAGGTATGTAATATGAGTTTTCAATCAAATTATTTTTGAAGTATTTTTAAAATTTTGGAAATTATAATCTTAATATAATTGCTCCGGAATTTTATTGTAAAAACGTATACAATTTCCCATAAAAGGGTCTTGTACCTTAGTTATAATTCGTTAGCGTCTTCAAATATCATAATTACAAGACTGAACAAAACATATTCATTAAGTTTTTCAAATTATACTAAAGACCTGTCGAATACGTCTGAAATCATATTTAAATGAAACTCTCGAATGACTAATTACTATGTAACCTGATTTTTATGTACAACTGTCAGTTTCTTAACGTTGAGCGACATCTAGCCGTCAAAACGAGATTTTCAGTACCTACGTATGGATAGGTCCACATTAAGTTAGTTCACGTTATATAAAATGTACTGATTCCACCGATTTGCAATAAAAGATTAACTGCTTCATTACAAAAAATATAGTAGTGTAAAGGAGGGAGTTTCTTTCTTCCGTTGGATGAGGTTACCAAAACAATCCAAATGAAACTCCAAATTGCTCAGAAGATTTTTATTTTCACCTTGTATGTCGCCAATACAATTTCACCCTATATGCGGAAGGTCAGGGCAGTTGTTCCCAGAAGGGACTCGACTCCTGGAAACCGTTCCGCGAGATGAGGTTTTTCACCGTATATGAGCGTACGAAATGTCAGAAGATCCGGGTAGCAGTTCCCAAGAAGGGACTCAATTCCTGGTTGCCTTACTGAGCTCTCTGTATTCTCCGATTTCTCTTCACATTAACAAAATTGTGTTCGAGTAGTCACCATTCCAGGGAAAATTTTAACACCGCGATTCAAAAATAACGCCAAATGGATCAATACCATCTAGCGGATTCTTAGAAAACTAAAAGTGAACAATCTGGTTTAAGGCTGTCCATTAAATAAAGTAGGTTTGTTACAGTAGATAATTCCTTCTCGAACTATGTCACGCGAGAAAGTGGTAAAACTGACAAGACAGTTCCCGATATCAAGGATAGATGGCACGTTTCACAAAAAAATAAGTTGGGTCCGAGTCCGAGAACATGTATTAACTTAGTTTTCATTTTTTATGGCTTAGCTTCATGCTTTTTGACCATTTAGTTATATAAAATAATTTCCTCTGAACTTACGTTACGTCACGAACCCACGGCACCATTCAGCTTCTATTAACTCTGTTTGAGGCTTCCGTAGTTTATTTTGATATAATAATACCAGACTTATCTGAATTCTAATCCCAAAACCAAATTTGTCCAGTAATTTAGTTTCTATTGTTACATATTTTTCATAAACAGACGCATACGAATTATGTCAACAAAAATGTATACAGGAGGTCGCCATTGTTCTTTTGGTCACGGCGTGTCTAAATGAGATCCACTCTCGTGAATTCCTGTATACATCTCGTGCACCCCCAATTACTTTAAGTTACGCGCTTTAAAGAATGTTAAGTAACAATATTTGTTATTAGAACGTTGAAGGTAAACATCATCGTGATGAAACCTACTTGTCTATGACCCTTAGAAACCGTGTTCTAATCGGCATGGGATCTCATTAGTATAGATCCGTGCCCAGCAGTGGGAAATAAAAGGGTTTGAGTCCTAGGAGTAGCGAAGACAGAGCACGTACCGGTTGTGGAGCACGATGGCGACAGTGGCGGGGTGCGGCACGGGCGGGTGGTGCGGGGCGCGCGGGCTGAAGGCCATCGCCTCCAGCGACGGCGGCGGCACGCGCGGCGCGGGGGTACCGCCCCACTCGCCCCACACGCCTGCGCACACGCACTCTCTCATTGTACTCGTACAATTATAATTCAACCTAAACTTTTGCATCCTCGCTTTAGTTGGCATGTAAACCACACTATTCGTAAGAGTTCTTTGTACTGATCTTAAAATTAGTTTTCAGCTAGTTGTCATGTTCTAACTTTAATTCACTGCTAAGCCGGTACCGATTTAAAGTTAAGAGTCGATACTATCTCAGCTGGTTTCCAAAATTTTCCCGTACTAATACGGTTCATTTGGCTTGGGTGGAGCGGTAGGGACACTGGCTTTATTTCTTAATGACACGTTCAACTTTTTTTTTTCACAAACGAACTTAAAGCGACTTGAAATATATATATATATATATATATATATATATATAGTATACAATACGTATTTTATTTAGTTCTGTTAATATAAAAAAAAAATCATTGGTATGTGTAAAGTACCTACTGGATACAGCAGCGTTCTTGTAAAATTTCGAGGTAAATTTGTGTTTTTTCAAACGTGAAAATTTTTAGGAAACGTGTTTTCACACCATATAGTAAACAGTGTATATTCTCAATTTGACTACATATTTTTTCCAAACTGATTGATTCAACACTTTCACTGTTATGCGGAAACAACCAAAGCCATCTGAGGTTGCATCGACTCTTCATGCTCAAAAAAATAGCTGAGGATACATGTACAGTCAACAGTACATGAAGCTATGCACTTTTTTCGAATATTGCCTCCAGAGCAACGGAACAAGATATAGTTAGTAATTATTATCGACACAAGGATCGAACGAACCCAAAGAAAAGGTTTTTCGAACCGACTGGACTCAAACCAGTGCCTGTTGCCTCAACGTGGCTAGGTAGTAAAAACATCATGAGAATTAATAAAAATAAAGTATTGCAACTGTACACAAGGTCACGTACCGGCGGTGTCTCTCCTCCAGTCATCCCTCTCTGCCAGTACATCGGGCGGCGCCTCGTCCCTCCCACACCTCGCTACCCACACTCTAGCGCCCTCACCGCTCTCCAGCTGCAACCTGGCTTCGTTCTCTTCTAACGCTACTAGCGATTCGGCGTCGAAAACCTAGCGTACATAAGGGTCAATTTTGTGTACAGTTCCAACTAAAATTGATGAACAATTAGTGATTGAACTTTAATTCCGTACTCATTACTAGTGATACAGCGTCACTCTTAACAATTTCCATCTTATTACGATATTATCTATTAATCACTATTTATGAATTCTGAAAATAACAAAAAAGACACAACTATGTCATGTTTCTGTATTCATTATTAATTATAGTCCATTTCACATACGATGGGTACTAAATAACATTTTGAATTTTTTACGTTACATGCATACTATTTTTAATTACTCTTAATAAGGTTACAAAAAGAAATAGTAAATTTGTTACAATAGACCAAAAACAAACAATATTTGTTTCAATCGTAGTATTAAGTTAAAATTACAGTATATAAAGTAGATGGAAACTGAAATGATAAAGATAAAAATAAATTACGCCAACTACTTGATGCGTAAAACGGAATATTTATCCATAGAGATTTACACCATAGAATCTATAAATCGAATCGGCTATTGTGTATCTCGCATTAATACGTGAGCATACACCTTGTATGCCCGTCCTTTTCTTTTGTTTTGAGCTTTGCGTAATGTTTTTTAGGAATTTTTTTTTAATAACGCACACACTCAACGTATCCCCGCACTAGGGAAATCCTGTGTCGCGAGTGCCTTGAACACAAACATCGAGAACTCACGAGAGAAATAAATGTAGGCCATACAAACATTTCTCCCGGCCCGGGAATCGAACCTGGGACTTCTGCGTGGCAGTCCGGCATGGTAACCGTTCGGCCACGGAGGCAGTTTTGACGGAAACGAAATAGTGCAAATTTCGTTTCGTTGCTGTTAAGTTTGTTTTTGGTTGTCGTTGATTTTGTAAATTGTTGTAGTTTTTTAGTAACTTAATAACATAATTATTTTATTTTGTTTATTATTTGTTCTTAAGCTATAGTCTCTAATATCGATTCTTCATTCGTTTTAAACTATCTCGATAAGATGTTTAAATCGATTTTTTTTTCATTCGATATTACATCACTACATCTCTAGAAATTTCAAATCTCAAACGTCACTGTACCGCGCTATCTGAAATGGACTATAGTATGTGCAATAATATCACATTAGCCCTACAGAGGCTGAAAAGTCAGATTGCCTGACTGATTGTGTACTTTCGAGCCACATAATTTGCTTTTTAATTCTTGCAATTACGGGCGCTGATGCTAGTGGGCAGTAAGTTTTTCTTTAATCTAATTACATAGTTTATTGTTAGTAGATAGATTTAAGTCTTTAGTGCAGGCGGACAGAAATTTCATTATCATCCTTACTTTATTTGCCTAGGCCTGTGAAAAGATACAAGGGCCATAAACTAAAAACTTTGTGTTCTTTTATAGAAAATAATTCAAATATTTCCGTGTATGTTTGAGAAAAGTCTAAAAAATCTAGTTATCAGTTTCTAAGTAGTGCGTAGTCATTCGAGCTGCATCATCATCAACCCATTCATACGTCCCACTGCTGGGCACGGGTCTCCTTTCATATGAGAGTTTAGGCCATAGTCCACCACGCTGGCCAAATGCGGGTTGGGGACTTTACACGTTTTCCGAGGGTTGTGAACCTTCACTGAAAAGCTCATGATAAATTTCAAATTAAGTTTCGCACATAAATAACTCACAGGTGCGACCCGGGATTCGAAACCACGACCAGAGGGTCGCTTGAGAGGCAGCAGTAGGTCAAACCATTAGGCTACTAATGCTTATTTCGAGCTGCATTACGATTGCAAATACAGCCAGTGTGCTGTTCGTACAGTCGCGACTGCAGCTCGTGTGAATACATCCTAAGCGCCATAACCCCTAATCTAGTAAAGTACTACGATAACGCTATTATAACAAGTACGATATAGCTTCATTACTCGTAGTCTTGTCTTGCATCTGGGGGGTCGTTCACCGTCCGATATTTGTCCAAAATAATTACTGTCAAATAACCAAATTATGAGACAAAGTATTACTTATTTGACAATGACACCTACCTCAACGAGTGTGTTAGCTGCGAGGGCATGCCAATCTCCTGGCTCCAGCCCTCGAGCCGTCCACCAGTCTTCACTCCGCGCTGCACTACTCCATAACCGTGCCAGTTCTAACGCAGACGCTTGAACTGCACGCTGCAATATTAAAATTACAATTAGTTATAAGTTGTTTAACAACCTCAGTAGCCGAACGGTTAACATTGACTGCCACGCAAAGGTCCCAGGTTCGATTCCCAGGCCAGGAGAAATATTTGTATGACCCATGTTTATTTATTATATTTGTATATATTGTTTATTTCTCTCGTGAGTTTGGGTGTAATTTGTGGTTGTCTATGTGTCCATGGAACCTGCGACACAGGGTTTCCCCATGTTGAGTGTGTGCGTTATTATTATTATTACTTATTAGTTGTGAAAATAATAATATTTCTAAAAAAGATAAGACACTTTATCTGTGTACAGTGCAATTCTGCCATCGGCTAACTAAATCGAGACTAATTGACAAAATATTTTTTTGAGATATCATAAAAAACCATTGCCCGGTTTTAGAATATTGAAATTGTTTAAAGATATTTCAGCTTTGCATCGTTATGGTAAGTTCCGATAAGTCGAACGCATTAACTAATTTTAACTGTTTTTAAAACAGAATTTTGTGCTCTATTTTTTGCTATTTAAAAGGGATATTTAACCATTTGTCGTTTAGCCGCATTTTAGTTGGTGGACGGCAGAATTGAGATTATGTCAAAAAGACTAATCACCTAAAATAGATTAAAAGGGGTGTGACGTAATTTTTTTTTTTGTTATATTTGTCGGGGGTTTAAAAAAGGGTCCCCGCATACCAATTAGGGCTTTCACCCCAGGACACACGGCATTGAAAACTTCGAAAAACTCGGCGATTTTCTGCCATTTTCGAGACTTCAATATCGAGACTTAAGTCATTTAGTTTAACAGTAGTAAAAAATCTACTAAACCAACAGTACTTTTTATTCTGGTTTTATGAATATGGGCAACACTCAGGGTCGTATTCCAGAACTCTACTCAAGGCTCAAGTCAGGACTTGAGCAGACTTGAGTATGATTTCAAGCACTGGAAATACGACCCCAATGGCAAGGACTTGAGTATGATTTTCAGTGCTCACTGCAATATTCAAGTCCTGACTTGAGTATTGAGTAGAGTTCTGGAATACGACGCTAAGTACATTACAACCTTTGGATATTGAAAAAAGATACTAATAAAATCAGATCTTCTCTATCTGAAACTACATTAATTGCCATTTGTTTTTTACGTGTCCACAATAAAAATGAAAAACTTTCAGAAATACTATCACAGATTTCCAATAGATAGCGCTACGGCTAAAAATCGTTAAAAACCAGATACAAAAATCCGACCCGCCTATTATATTAAAATTTAAGCGAAGAATGTTATTTTACTATAGCCACTGTTTTGCTGGGAGTGACATAAGTTGACAAGTCCCAAGTGCTTGTAATTTCACCAGCACGCTTACCCTTCAAAACCGGAACGTAGTATAAGCACATGGGATTTGTCAACTGTATGTCTCAGAGTGGCGGGCGCAGTGACAGTGCCTATCAGATCTTTGCGATTTAAAACCTACGAGTTGCAACTGTTATGGACAGGCACACGCCTGCTTATCATCAGGCGCACGACTTATTCGTCCCGTCGTGACTTGATATTATTAAAAAAACCCTGAGTGGCAGACCAGCATGATAACTGTTCGGCCACGGAGGTGGTTAAAGATAAATAAATGTATACAACTGACCCTCAAGTCGTGTGTGGTCATCCGCACCCGCGCTCGGGCTGTGTCACTCAATCCCAAGGCTAGTTCTCTTCTTCTCGCCGAGACTTTCTCCCGCAA